CCAATAGATTGACCTATTAGAAATCTTGGAAAGGTCTCCTTTGTTCTAAAATCGCCAGTAACTTTCTGTTTAGAAGGCCAAAAAAAACATTAAGGTTAAAGTGTAAAGCTCTAGGAGCTGAATAATCCCCTAGTGATGCGTCTAACGATACTTCCATTTCCTTCCCTAAAAATAGTCGAAGTTCGAGCTCATGGAGAAAAACAACATGGTGTTCTTTCCTTGTAAACATCATTTAAGGAATTTGAAGGTTTTAGGAATATTAATTTACCATAAATATCTTTCTACTTCTGTTCAGCAAGCACGAGGTGCTATTTTATTTCTTTATTTACGCACAAGCTGACGCTTCGGCGGATTTCGCCTTCCTCAGAGCCTGGAAGGGTCAAGTTGACAGCAATCCACTCGGCCAAACACCTCCATAACCAAACAGAGAAGACGCTAAACCAAAATTTCAATCACATTTAGCATAACTCTGCGCACTCACCGCATTTTATGAGATATATAAAACACTGAGTATGTCGCGTGAAGACCGACCGCACAGAATTCACGTGGAAGCGTAATGTGCCCCTCCCATCAGAATAACAGGTTTATATACTGTCCAATATCACGCATGATAACGAGGCATTCCTCCCTGCGGTTCATTTTCGGATTCTTGGAATTTATCCAGAATGCCTCTAGAGTTTTGCGCGCTTGTGTTCTCGATTCTTGCGCGAGGATCGTAACCCTTACTTCGAAATCTTTTCCGTTATGTTTCTGCGTGCTATGCGTACCTAGTGGAGTACTGAGCTTACGTTTGCCGACTAGGTGTTCTTTTATACGTACGCAGAGTGTCCTACCCGTTTCGCCAATGTATTCGTCCCCGCACGCTTTACAAGAGATCAGATAGGCTGTACCCGAACTCATGCAGTCACCGTCTCTACCATTGGGGCAACTTATGCAATTTTGCGTTGCACATAGACGGTCGTATAGGCGGTTACGAACTAGCTGGCGCCTTAGATTATTCGGTGGTATTTCGATTATCATTACCGAATTCTCTAGACTGGCCCTTCTTAAACAGCGTTTTATAGCTGCACTTACTTCATTTGAAATGAAGGGCAGTATAAACGGGACCTTGTTGTCGCTAGAGTTATCGTTGGGGTACCTGTGGTTTCCTCTACACCTATCTGGAGCTACGGTTTCGTAGCCATTAAAAATGGCTATTTGCCGCGCCAAGTTCCGGGATTCCTCTCTCTGTTGTCTCCCTGTGCACACGCTGGTAGCCGTTCGATACAAGTTTCTCACAAGCGCCCTTTTTGTGTGAGAGGGATGAGAGGAGAGGTAATGAACTAGGATGTTTTTACTACTTGGCTTTCGATACCACTTCGTAATGTAGCGGTTTTCTGATAGGCTAATTTGCACGTTCAGAAATGGAAGCCAGTCTTCTTTTGGTTTATCTCGGGTGAATTTAATATACTCTGACTGTGTGTTCAACAACTCGAAACAACTGTCGATTTCTTCTTGCGTTGAACAAATGACCAAGCAGTCATCTATATATCTACAGTAGAGTAACGGACCGAGGTCGATTACTGGCGCTTCCACCTTAGACATGAGTGCAATGGCAAGGCTTGGGGCCAGTCGTTGTCCCATTGCCAGCCCTCTCATTTGTGCGTAATACCTCCCGGACCATCTGAAGATTGAACGTAAGATTGAACGAAGATTCACGTAACTCTGAACCGCAGTTCCCAATTAAGAGTAACAGACATTTGATCTTTTGTGATCAATGTCAAATGATCAGACATCTTTTGATCTATCACCATAAATAGTTGAGGAAACAATTGGCTTGCAAATGGTATGAGAAAACATCGTAGTAAACAATTACTTATTTCAAAATATTTATTTGAAATTCGTGGTGAAAACAAATGGTCAACACTAATGGCTTAATCTAATACAATTCTGTCGCTATGGCACGGCGTGGTGACAAAGTACCCCTTAGACCTCAAAGACCCGAGTTTTTGAGATGCGTATGAATATTTGTCAAAGCTCATGCAGATATAGCATAAAATTTGCTTGATTGCACAATACTAGTGGACCAAATTTTTGCATGACCTAAAAGCTTCTCCAACAATCCATTTTCATTTGTTATTCTTCACAAATACAACGATTTCAATGTCAAAAATCATCGCCAGGGTTCATCTCTTCACTTAAATGCTTTTGAATACATCTTCAGATGTATGTACACATAGGAAGATCACATTCGCCGCATGCTTTCATGACTGTATTCAGAATATCGACAACTTCTCTTCGACGAAGGTGATATAAAAGTTCGACAACAATTGCCGTTCGTTAAGTAATCTGGGAGGCACCCGAGAAAAGAAGGTAAGACCTGAAAAATTTTGATATAACAGGAAGAGACTTTGTCTCTGCTGTTAACGAATCGTCTATCTTACTACGAGACCATGTAGAGCTCCCCAAGTTACGACAAGAAATATAGCAGTGACGAACACGGAAGGAGAGTAGCTCTGAAAAGAAGCGATTTCAACTCAAATGAATTAGTTGTAATCCAAAGTATTCCAGTGATTATTATTGACGGCCAAAATTTCCAGTCAAATCTGTATTATCTCAAGCCTTCGCTGGATTATTTCCCCAGAAAGTGGATGCTAGAAATATGGTCACTTCAACTGACTCGCGCTTTTAGGTTGATATGTGAGCAGGAAAACTCTTTCATTCAATAAAAAGCTGTGATTAGTACCATGTTAGTGCTGAAACTTGGTACTTCCATATTTAGGTGGACGATAGCTCGTTTTCATTAGGCACGCAAGCCACAGTACATTCTCCGTTTATTTCAGCACGATTACCATCCGTAATGTTCAATTGTTTGAAGCATGATGTCTAAGACCCTTATTTTGCGGTCGTTAAAGGCTTTTCAGCTTCGAATAGAAATGGTTGACATCCGTTCCGAACACTCTTGTCATGCTGTAGATGATCGTCCTAGTGGGTACATCCTCTTGAAATTCTTTCTTTTCCATTTGAAGTCGACACTTTCCACTGTTTCTTTGGAAGTCAAAGACAAAACAATCTTCAAAGGAATGAACTAGCTGTTCCATTTGATGTTGTGCTTGTCGGTTATACTTCAGATGACACTGTTCAAGTGAGGCGCGTTTAGCTCAGTAGTTATAAGTGCACTGCGTTACACACTGAATTAATCACTGCCTTAATCAAGTGTCTCGGGTACTCCAAGCACATCATCGTTCTGGGACCGAACTGATACAACACCTGTGCAGAAGTACAAAATACTGGTTTCTGGGTAAACTTCTGTATACATTAGGTATGAATTCAACCTGACCAAGTTGGACGCATGGCGCATGCGCATGGGATGATCAACGCCAAAAGACTTGTCCTCTGTCATTATCGTTCAAGTGTTCCATCTCTTGTCTCATCACCTGACCTTGTTTATTGCTTGAAACAATGCTTTTTTTGAAAATCCTAAGCAGCCTTGCTTTACCACGTGAACACCACTGGTAGTAGACGGATCTTATAGTTCGAACGGCGGTTTGTCATGGTGTGAATAGGTTTTTACCCGAAAGACGCCCACGTATTCCATTAGTTTGACCTTCTTTAGACGTATTCATAAAATGTGGAACACCTTCTTAGTTAAAATTCGGAACCCAGAAACATTCCTGAGTTACCACAAAGCAGTAAACCGTTGAGCAGAGACATCCCATAGAACACATCAAATTATTATCGGTAAACATTTCGCCTTCAAAATCCAATCTTCTTAAGAACATTGACTCACCGCTAAGAGTAAGAGAGGAAGGGTACAGCAAACTGTGGAAATAGCGGCCTGCAACATAGGCCAACCAACGGATCTCAGTGTGTGTTCCAGTTTCTGCTGCGGACCACGAACTGGTATTTTTACAACACGGCCGTCACGAAATTCTTTTCGAACTGTCAACTAAACATAAAATATTAACCGACTGTTCTTTTATATTGGTGTCTACACGATTCTGTCCTTGCACATTTAACTGATTGCTCGGAAATACTGGATAGAAAAGAGTTTTCAATCTTGAGCAACACACTTCTACCAGTGTGGAAATGTGGCACGCAATTTCGACTCTCGCGTTAGCTTCCTCTAAAAGGTGATGTAAATCCACCTAAATCTATTAAGAAACAAAAACCTGGTAATGATAAGCTACATGAGCGATGAAGTCGACGCTCATTCCTATGGACATTAGAAGCGCTGCCATGACAACCGGATCCAAATCGAACTTCCATATCGATAAGAACCCAATAACACCTTTTGATAAGCATCTTTATGTGAAGTATGTAAATGCTACGAAACTTGAAAAAAAAGAATAAAAGACCAAGCAACTCACCTAGGCTAATAGAAGCTATAGATATTCCAGCAGTAATAACACTACATGGGTTGGGTATAAATAGTGCGCAAACCACAGCCATGCAAGCAAGTGTCAGCACACTAGTCTAAAGAAAAAAGAAAACTTATGAAATTCAGTGAAATGAGAAGGAATGGACGAAACACTGGTTCTACAATGCAAAGCATTAGATGCTTAACAGGAAATTAGCAGAAGTCTCTTCGAATATATTCTGATGCAACAAACCCAGCAAAGAACGAACTTGCAAGGCTCCTGATTTCAGACTCAACATTTGATCCACAAACATTCCATTTGGTTCCCAAACACTAGCGTTTAGATCAGGATACCTCAAAATAATGGTCTTGACTGAAGGTCCACGTGTGGGCTGATTTATTGAACAGTTAGCAACCAGGACTCACTGTTTTACTATGGATCGCCACTGGTTCATCAACTCAATGCGAGTTTCCCATTGTGACGTGTTCTCATAAGCTACAGTTAACCAGAAACGCTCAACAATAGGTGCATCACTGAAATGCTGACAGCGGCGTTTTGGAGAGGATTACGGTGCATATCAGCGAACTCCTTCATTAAACGTAATATCTCTATTACCGTTTCGCCATTTTTAGCCTTATTTTTCTGCATGATTTCAACAGCGATTACACAAGTTTTGCCTTAAAATTCCTACAATATTCCCTTCTCATCCGAAATGCGCTAGCTTGTGGTTGCCACTTTCAAACATTTGCCAGTATGTTGATTCTATTTCGACGTTGTGCATAATACTTGCTTATAATTTCGGATTCTCATGAAGGCTTCCCAATGTCGGTAAACTTTCGATTCCAAGAAGTCGTTCAATTTATTGAGCGTGATGTTAGCCTGAACCAAGCATAACAAGAGCTAAGTGACGATAATTCGCTGAAACATGCCGAAGAAGATATTATGATAAAAGGACGTACCAAATATGGATTTATGTCGTCGCGTCTGAGAAATACGGAAATAATATTAGCGGGATCTCCGTTGTAATAATAGTCGATATAATCCCTCAACCAAATCAGTGAGGAAGATGAACCTTGAAGACATGACTTTGCGTACAGTTGTCGAAAGAAATTTTTGTGTAGGATACCGAACTTGCTGACAACAAACTACGTTCTAGAGTATGAAAAGAAGCGAAGCACAATAACATACATCAATAAAAAAAACAAGCAGTGCAATCCCTCCTTATAGCTACTACCTCAACGCAGCATGGTGTATAGCTAAATGTCGAAATATAGTTCAAAAATTGAGATTTATCCTATAACTTCGATGTGAAAAGAAGTCAGATTCATCGATCGCTGCTCGACAAGTCTTTGAAGAGTGCAAACCTAGTGTCTTATTCTTTCGATTCGAGAATGCTTTTCCGATGCAAAAACCCTTAAAGGTTTTTTTAGGATAATAAGGATTACAGCAGGAGATTGCAAAGATGATGGGGTCAAATGAACAAAGACGATGTGAGCACCACCTTCAGTAATAAAATGGAAACACTTCCGGAGACCTTCTAGCCAAACTTTCCTCGTATCATATACACAGTACAGCACTGAAGAAACCCTTTACTCCCTCCTTCTGTGAGCTTTTATTCCTTACATATTTGAGCAAAGATCATCGGCATTAGTAGGTGCACGATCAAAGGCCGTACAGCAGCAGTGCCTGTCATTTTCTAAACAAAGATTGCCAACTACGAAGGCTGACTGTGAGCATCAACGTAACTATCTCTCAATTTGCTTGCTCATTGACGATGCTCTGAAAAACTTGACTAATACCACAGTTAAACGCATATAATTCTACTCGAAATACCACCTGTCATGTGTCCCAACTTTTTTTAACCATGAAGAAATCAACCAACAGTATATAAATGTGTGCTATACTTTTAGTGCTTAATCTTCAAGAGCTGGAGTTGTCCTACATGAAAAGTCATAATTAAGAACTAGCATCCTATTGTTTCACTCTTCCTTCGCTCTCAATGTCGCCCAGTAAAAAACTTCAATATGGCCATATCGTCGAGGAAAAGTAGTTCACTCCCATTGTAGTGAATATTGAACTCCCTTGACTAGAATGAATGAGGTGTATTCATTTATGGAAACCAGTCCAAAAAATCCTGCACATCTTTTCGAGAAGTAGCAGTGAAGCAGAGAAAGGATTGAAGAACGTAGGAATAATACAGAAAGAAATGATAAAGCATTCAGCGTTGATCAATCTATGGGGCCTGCGCCATATATTCGACTCAATCCGTCGCATTGCAAAGGTAATTGAATTCATATGTGGTCTGTAAAATGAATTGCGATGGCCTATCGATCTATAGAACTTCCTAACTGCTAGTTCATAGGGCCTTAACAAGTAGCTAGAAAACGCTTTGTTTGTCAACCTCTGCATGCTTATAAAAATAATGAACTCCAAGAGCCAAATAAGAATCGCCATCTGTTTTTGACATCATTCGTATTCTCCTGCTTGAAACTTCCTACCCACAGTTATAAACGGTGTAAACCATTAGTTCGTAAAATTCTTCGTGCTCTCCTGCTTGATTTTTCCTGATCACTCTCGTTATTGGCGTAAACTCGACTGATATTCATAGTCCTATGTCATTGATGTAGAGAGGTTACTCACTGATCCTTGCGATCGATGTATTGTTGTGTTGCCTGTGTATAGTTTAAATAACCAAGTCTGAGGTTCAAGTTCGAAACACCTACGAACCACAGTAAGTTCTGAGGTCGGTAGCAGCCATCTACACGCAATTGATGTCTCAGTAACTATCCAAATTGCTATAAGCTCTCTCGCTAACTGTTTCAACTCATTTGGTAACATTTACAATTTAAGTATGGAGAAAATTCAGATGTGAAGTAGAATCGAGTATTCACAACAGAAAATATAAACACTTGATTCTCTGATTTCTCCAAAACTGGATTTCAAAAATTACACCTACTTTCAAATGCTCGAAATCTCAATATATGGAGCACTGGCCAACCAAAAAATGCACTAAAAGCCTATTTGAAAATTTCGAAACCGATACCAAAGTTGACCTACATATGCCTTTTAAAATCGAGATAAAATCCAGATGTTTTCGACGGCGAATCAACACCCAGATAAAATGAGTGCCAGAGAAAACAAAAATCAGCAACTCCATACCTTTTGAGAAAACAAATCAGAAACAAACCTTTCGAATGAGGGAGAGTCTCGAAGTTGTGGATCATATCCCAGAAGAGAGTGGTGTGAGTTTTGTTTGTAACATCAAATGGAGTGCTAATCACGACAGTCACTGCATGATATTCTGCCCAAACTTAAACCACGCATATAGAAAAGTAGGAGTAAGAAACTAAATAAAAAGCGGAAGAAGTGGTAAAACTAAATACTGCTGCCTAAAGCAAAATCGAACCGTTGAGTACAGTTAAGTAAACATCATGCCGATTCATCGTTAAAAAAACAATAAAAAAGGATAGAGCTCTCGGCGTTGATCAATCCTTGAGTGATGCGTCATGCATTCGACTTCATAAAGCATCGTTTGAAGGTGATTGAAGGCATATCTGGCCATTACAATGACTCGCGGTGGCCCACCGATGTATCAAGCCAGTGCTGCCAACCTCCCAGACAAGTCTGGTACCAATTTACCGACCCCGGTGGATGGAAGGCATGATGGACCATGGACGGAGGGATCGATTCCACGTGTGGCAGAGAGCGTCCGACCACTGCGCCATGCCCGCCCTTTAAATAAATAAATAGAATAGCAATGAGCTCGAATTTAAAAAAACTTCACTTCTGAAAGGACTTATTTTGGTGAACAGAACGCGCTGTCACTGCTTATAGCCTCAAAGTTACTTATCAACCTCATATTTCTTAACGTCATCCAAAAAAACTTTCTTGCGTACTGTTGCTAATGATTTCAATCTTCAGTAAATATAACTAGCGAGTAAAATTGTATTGATAAAGCTTAAAAAGTACCAATATTACTGAGAATGTAATTTGGTCTCTGTAGCGGAGAATTTTTCGGTAAAATCTTCACAGTATCCAGCCTGGTTTTGATCTCGAGTATTCCAATGATAGCAAAATACCAGTATACAAAAGTAGCAGCTACAACGAAGGAAATGAAGACTTTATGACCAAGCAAACAGCAGTAGTAATGAAGGAGCTTGTTTGAGGAAGCATCCAACTGAAAACGTCATTTTAGATCATTACAGAACTATTAATCTTTCAAACTTCCAAGAAACAAAACAAAAAACAACCCAGCGAGTTTGCGACAGTCGTCGAGGGTTTGTAGAGACTTTCGTAAACAGAAAATCTAAAATTCACCACATTACGCCAACTGGAATGTTCCTCAACGGTCCCTGCTTTTTCGAAGCCGGTAGCAATTGCTAAGATTGGACCAAAGACAATGAGTTGAAAAATGAACGTGAGAGCCATGGCGAGTGCTGTCGCGAAACAGAACAATCGAATTTCTAAAATTGAATAGCAAGTAAGGCACTGACATATTGAGTGTTCCCTTTGCTCTCACTGAGCAAACGAGGTCTTAATTCTTAGAGCCAATCTGAAACGGCTTCCATATGTTTAGACTTCATTTGTATTGCATGACTCCAACCAAGTCTCAAGCTAGCACAAATACGCATATAGGCACGCATTTTACCTCTACACCGAAGGCACAAATCAAAAGTAGAAAGCCCGTTCCAATTCTGCTATGTTTCATTTCCCAACGGAAGTTATTGCAGGTTACTTTTGAGTCATCCTCAACATGTTCGTGACCTTCAGAAGCACATCTGATCTACACGTGTAGCATATAGAGAATTCCTCAATCAGATAGAGAATTCTCTATCCGTATAACTAATACAGTCCACGGACCGATGGGGATCGCGTGGCTGCAACGCCGCGCGCATCCTCTGCGTCCATATCCCGTTCTGGCATGGCTAATACAGTTCTATTATCGAGGGGGATCGCGTGGCTGCAGCGCCGCGCGCATCCTCTGCGTCCATATCCCGTTCCGGCCATGGGACACACCCAGTAGTCCCGCCATTCGACCCAACGACGCCGTCGAGACCGTCCTTGCCAGCCCCATCGTTAACTCCACTCCGTTAATTTCACTTTGTAGATTCATTTGCTTAGGTTATAATGATAGTATATGTAGCCCTTAGCCCGTGAATCGGTGACACATTAGTGTTATCGTCGTCTTTCGTGTAATTATGTTATCCGTGTTAACATAAGTTAAATACATTCATTGTTCACAGGTACATCACAAACGGTTCATAGTTCTTGCGCACTCCCACGAACGCCCCTCACGTCCTCGACCTGCGAGCCGTTACATTGGTGTGTGTACTATTGTTAATGTGTTTTATTAGGTAACAAACCCACTGAACCACCTTATTCACAGTTGTTGGACAGAAGTTGTATATTGCCTTGCGTTGTTGTGTAAATAACATGTGTATACTAATGAAGGTTTAATTACCCAAGTTTGAGGTACATCACAAACGGTTCATAGTTCTTGCGCACTCCTGCGAACGCCCCTCACGTCCTCGAGCTGTGAGCCGTTATATAGCAGTACACAATGAACCACATGAATTATGCACTTGCTTTCTAGTTGTTTATTTTACCAGAAAAGCACCCTTCTTACGCTTTGTGTTTTTGGTCGATAACATATTAGACACAGGCATCGGTATTAGGCATTGCCAGGAAAAGCCTCCAGCACTCTACTCCTAGAGTTTTTCAGAATACTGCTTCCGGATAAATTTGTTCCACTGAGAACGCTTGCTCTTGGTTAAGAGCATGCGCATCAAAGACTGCGCATCCGTTAAGTAGAGAGCAGAGATATCCCTGATTTACTTTTAGATTGAAGTTCGACATTTAAGGAAATCTATTCGTTTACGATAAAATGGTAGACCATTCGGAAAAGTTGGATAGATTCAACTGTAGTGGGACACTTTGCACTACTAACATGCGATTTGCAACCTCCACAATTCGTTGTCTCTATAAAGTACAGTTGTTGCGTATAATTTACAATTATTACAATTCGCGAACTCTAACACTTATACTCTCCCTGGCTAGCTATCACGGAAACATTCTAGGCAGAAGTATTTTCAATATTGGCTTCATCTAGCGCTGAGCTGTTTGGCACGCATTGCAGTAGATCTATAGCCATCGTACTTTGCTATTTCTCATAGTTGCTAACACAACGTTCACAGTCAATCTCCAAAACCACAAAGCGCTCACAATGTATGAATGAGTAATTGGCTCGGAAAGTAGTCAAAGAAAAAAAAATTTTTACCTTAAATCATCAGCACGATAAAACCGCTCTGATTCTCTCGCTTTATCAAGTGCCTTCTTTTCAATTTTTTCTCGATATCTGCTTGAAAGTTTTCTAATGCATGTGCCGATCAGGTTTCCCGATTTGCTGAGCATTTGATTAGCGAGCAATACACTTCCATACCCATTACTGATATATGCGTGCCTTCATTCATCCATTTAGCCGTCCATGATGATCATCACTAGTGATTTATCCACAATGGTATTTTTTGAGGAGATCCACACCAGTATACAACACCGATGTCTGCCTGTAACATCCAATTGTGCGCATATTGAACAAACTAATTCTACGGTTCAACCTTCTGTTTCATACACAGTAGCGAAAAGACTCCAAGGCACGAAGGATTTATCGATACCAACATTTTCACAGGGAGCCTGTTCTGTACGGTGGTTTGACATTGTAGAACTTCTCTAATCCATAATAGGTTGCATTGCTGATCACATGAAGGTAGGCAAAACTTTAAGTCCTGACATGAACGTAGAACCCAGCAGGAATTTTTCTATGGGATAGACTGGTACTTCAACAATCACTCAACCGTAGTAACCTAACCAGTCCCATCCAAAGCGACAGATTGTTGAGGTCTTTCATTTATTCCACAGTCGCTGATTCCTACACCTGGTACTGCTGTTGATCGAATCTGTTAACCTCGTTACAATTAGGTTGCAAATACTTGTTACGAATAATTCGTAAATATCCACCGATCCAGGGTACCTAGGAAGTTGTTCATAACCACAAAATTAAATTTCAGCGAAACTCCAATGGCTATGAAGTTACACACTACTTGACCGTTCATCACTAACCCATTATCAACATCTTTGACTCTTATCAACCCATCACATTTTTCATATTCCACGCCGGAAAGCAATAGAGATCATTCACTTTTCTCAGTTTCTTCACCGTATTCTACTTCACTTTAGAAAAGAACTCTACCAACAATGACGTTCAATTCGTGTCTCTCCTCTTCCATGATTTAAGCATATAAAATTCAATTTTGAGCAGTACTTGACTGTTCACTCTTTGTCAATCATTACGATAAAACTAATTTATCCCTGGGATTGATGGATAGAGAAAGGGAAAAAATCTACTCCACAAAAGTTGTGAAATCGACTGTTACGAAAACCTTACGGCAATATACTGTGGGCGAGCTTTTTTCTTCTTTCTTTCACCACGCAAGAGAGTTGGAAATGTTCCAAAGGCATAGAAAGATATGTTAAACATGGACGATATGCAGAAAACAAAAAAAAAACTGTCAAGAGAGTAGAGAGAAAAAATAAGCAACAGAGAGAGGAGTACAGAAGAATAAATGAAAAACAGTGAACTGCGCATTCGACGGGCGCTTCATGCAACAATAACCGTTGTCTCTAATGTGTTCACACCATTTCTACCAACCGAGGAAACCACGCCCGTCTCTCCAGTTTACCTACATGGGTCAGATATGTGGATTTACATTCCAATAAAAAAGCGAAAGACCTTTTAAAAAGCAATCCTTTCCCATCGATATGCCCATTCCAAATATCTGTCCTACATTTTCGATAAGCAGGTTATTCCTACTGACCGCTCAATTTACGCAGTAGCTTCGCACTTTATAACTAGAACTTATCAGTTCTCAATCATATGGAAACTTTCGACTTTAATCGCTATGCGCAAACGCCAAACCTGGAGTTGGTGTATAAGCTCCAATTCCGAATGATAAGAAATTGGTAAGTGAAGTGATTGTAATGCTCGGGCCGACATGTTCATAGACCATTCCTGTATAATAAAATCCTATCCGTTTTCAAAATTCAGCCGAAGGATTGCTACAACCTAATCTTTCTTTAACGTTATAACCATCACGAATCATTCGCTGCCATGTGTGAATCATGAGAAAAGAATCATCCACTCCTGAAAAGTTGATTAACGTAGTTACTTGATCTCTTGTAAAATTTGCCTTAGCACAATAAGTAAGCTAACATTTACTTGGAGAAGATTTCTGTCAACAAGCAAAAACAAACCAATGAATGTTGTTTAAATAGCTGTTCCACAGCGTTAATGATAAGAGGTGTGGCATACAAACTGTGTTGAAACCTACCTTTCGTCAATCTATACGTAACAGTTACACAGTTACTTGTTCCTGTATCACCTGTTGCCCGCTGATCGTCCAGTGACTCGAGCGGGCGCCAGTAAATCTTCCATTTTTCCCTGCCGCGTGCAAGAGCATCCCAGTGGGTTCTGCTCGCTCTAGAGACTCGTCCAGCATCATATCTTTCTTCAAGGCTCTTCATAAAGAACTTTGACCATCGGGTCGGTGTTCTTCTTGCAGTTGGTTTGACATACCGAGGAAACCAGTCACTAGCGGCTCTTGTCCATCCGTTGTCACCAATACGCATTCCGTGCCCGGCCAACATTATCTTCGACTATTTGGCGTACAGAACGGCATCTTTGATTTTTGATCGCTGACGCAGAACGGAGCTTCGGATCCCATCCCTTACTTGTGTGGAACGGGATACTCCTAGCTTCGTCCTTTCGACAGCGCGTTCGATAACGCTGAGTGATCTTTCATCCTGCCCACACAGCGACCAGGTTTCTGACGCATACGTTAGGGCAGGAAGCACTGTCAAGCCGAAAAAGTGGGCACGTAGTCGGGTGTTCTTTGTTCTCTCCACTATATCCTCGACGCTTTTGAAAGCTCCATAAGCCGCTCGTTTCACTCTGCTCAGCTCTGGAGCTAGGTCGTTCATCATATTGATTTCCCGACCTAGATTGATATAATTGGAGCATTCGGAGATATTTGTTCTGTTGAGCGTGGATGGGGCATACGAAACCAATCCATTCTTCATGAACATCGTTTTTGTGAGGTTTAGTCGAAGACTAATCTTTCCACAGGCTTTATCAAAGTAATCAAGCATACGTTCCGCCTGGCTAATGTTCGGTGTTATAAGGATAATGTCATCAGCAAAGCGAAGATGGTGTAACTGCCTAACGTCGATTTTCACTCCCATATTATCCCATTCCAATGTTGGCATGACGTTCTGGAGTGTGGCGGCAAATACTTTTGTGGTATCACCTTACCTAACTCCTCTTTTGACGTCAACGTTAAAATCGTTGTAGAATGGTGATATCTTGTTTGTGAGATTTTTGTATAGCTCACGAAGATTCTTTGTGTACTGAGCAAGGAGTCTTTGACTATCAAGAGCTTTCAAGACTGTTTCTATCTCAACTGAATCAAATACCTTCTGTAAATCGATGAAAATGAGACAGAGCGGTCTTTTGTACTCTCGCGATACTTCAGTGAGCCGTGTTACTGCGTGGCTGTGGTCCATCGTACTAAATCCTCTTCGTAACCCTGCTTGCTCACATGGCTGTCCTTCGCCTAGTGCTCTGTCAATCTTGTTTAGGATGACTTGAGTGAAAAGTTTCTAGATGGCAGACAGCAATCAGAGTGCGCGATAGTTGCCGATATCGTGTAGGTCACCCTTCTTGAACAATAACACGGTCCTGCTGGTTCTCCACTGAGTAGGGACCTTGCATTCGGACAGGTAACATGTGAAAAGCCGAGCTAGTGTGTTTACGAGGACTGGAGGAAGGTTCTTCAGGTGTTCTGGTCTAATCCTGTCCGAGCCTGGTGATGTTCGATTTTTCACCGACGAAATTGCACGTCGGATTTCGGAAGGGAGAACCAGTGGTACAACATATTCATCCTCTTTTATTTCATATGACGGAAGGTAGACGTGACTATCGAAGAGATCTGAGTAGTATTCGTGAATGATTTTCTCCATTGCCTTTCTGGACGCTGTAACTGTTCCGTTTGGGCGTCGGAGTGCAATCACCTTGATCTTGTAATTGGCGAAGCTTCGGTGGGTTTTGCAAATGATTTTCCCAGCCTCTGCAGCTTCGACCATTACTGCTACTCTTCTCTCTTTAAGATCTTCTTTTATCACTTGTCTGCATTGTTTTGCAAGTTCGGACGTTAGTTCGCGGTTGCCTGCAGCTCGTGCGATTCCACGCTTGCGTATCAGCTCGAGTGTTTCTGGAGAAAAACGTCTCTTAGTGACTTTCGAACTCTCAGCTTTCATAGCGCTAACGCGAAGATGCTGAATGGGCCAATAGTATTCTTCGTCGATGTCATCGACAACGGCATTTTCCCACCAGCCGACTAATGGATTGAATAAGTCCCAAATTGTGGTGGTTCCGGTACTTCGGTTTTGTAATTTAGCGGCTTTTTCTTCTTTCCTCAAGAGATAGAATCTTGCACTGGTCTGATTTTCTGTAGAATTTTGGAACAACAGCGAAATCAGTTAGGCAAAACCGTCTATTTACTATGATTTGGTCTATTTCGTTATGGTACTCTCCATTGGGAGACTTCCACGTTCAGCCTTTAGGGTGGGGCTTTTGGAATTGCGAGTTATCATACATGGTCTTGGTCGTCATGATAAACTCAGAGAGCCGCTCACCCTGTTCGTTCCACTCTAATCCGTGGGCCCCAATGTGACGTTGTTCAGAAGTTCTTCTTGGTCCAATCTTGGCGTTAACATCTCCAATGATAACCTTGAAGAATGTATGACCTTGTCTGTAAAACTACTCCAAGTCCATATAAAATGCTTCGACATCTTCTTCGTCATAATTTGATATCGGCCCGTAAACGACGAAAATTGTCAAAGCCGGTATTGATCCACATCTTTTTAATCGTAAACGTCCTATTCGTGCGGTTAGTTGTTCGAATGAATCAATGTTCATGGACAAACTCGTGTTGGCGAGAACGCCGTCGCCTCCGACTTCTTCACTGTCGCATGTTGCGAGGAAGTTCTTCTCCGGTGTCATAGACGGCTTTGAAAAGGTGGCGTCTTCTCGCCTCGGCCAAGCCGATGACGTCGTACTTTATCCTTCTTGCTTGCAGGAGCAAGACTTCTATTGAGGACTCAGGTGGAAGTGTACGTGCATTGTAGGTACAGATCGTCAACCTAGTTCTTTGTAATCTAGACAGCTTCCATTGGCCCTGAGATTTTAGCGGCCTCTCCGTACTCGTCCAATCCAACGCTGACGAATTGAGGACTCTTTTGCGGTCAGAGGAATGAGGCTTTTTCCTTTTACTTTGTTTAGCATTTTGATACCCAGGTACAGCTTCCTGGGCTCTGAACGAGAGGCTGGGTATATTCAGGGGTAGCTTACCAGGATCTCGCAGAGTGCACAAGAAGGTTAGTTGTTGGAGGGGACTCCTAACCGTCTCCCAAATATTTCCCTGTTACTTGATTGCAATCTCTTGGCCGAATTGACTCGTAGAATACAATCCGCATAGAATCAAACGCTGCCACTCACGCGTTCATGAATACGCCTAGCAAATACAGAAAGTATGTGGCATATCGGCGCAGCAGAAACAGGGAGTCCATCTGGTGGATCCACTTGCGTCTCAGGGAAGCATAGGTCGCTTTTGTCCGCGATTAACCCCCTATCCGCCAACTGGGGACACGCGACGTAGCCTCGCGACTGACCGGCTCGAGATCCCTCATATTAAGGAGATCCGTGGAACAGTTACTTCTTAACTCAACTAATTAAGGCGCTAATTAAATTCTTATATTGGGTACTTACCGATTCCCATGATGAGAAAGGGCATCACAAGCATAAACGAATTCACGCGACATCCAAGCATAGACACGATACCATAAGAGCATGTTATAGCAATTATAGGACAGAATGTAGCGCCAACTCCAACCAGTCTTTAGTAAACACATCTCTACATCCTTCATGGACAGTATAGATCATAGCAGAATTCTTACATTTTCCCGGCATCAAGTGCATTGTAGTATAAAGCACTGCAGAAAACGCAGACACTTACGAATGTGATCATAAACGCAAAGCCTAAAACCGGAGGGTTATCTGTTTCATGAATGGACTAATGAAAAAATTTTCATGCTCACCAGCTGCAAAAAATGGAGTAATTTTTCTGGTATCTCGTATCATTTCCATATCAAGAATCTCTGTCCCTATTACCTAAACAAATAGGTGGCGGATTAATGATATAAAACGATTAGCGGTGATGACGATAAGAATTGAAGTGTAATAGGGCAGCGTGGCATTAATCCTCATCTGTATTTCTACAAGAGAATCGCTTTCGTTCGAACAGCTATTGTACTCCACACTCCATTCGTAGGCTGCAATTTCCCAACTAGCAAACTGTTCGGCCTGTGTTGGAGTATTCTTATTTCCCCGCAGTATTATCAAAATCACCTAAAAAGCAATGGTAACGACAATATAAGAGAGGTCTCGGATAAGAATATCAAATAAATTCTGAAGAGCACATTCGAAAAAGTTATGACAAAGTTGAGTCGAGTTTTCTACAAAAACTTTCTAACATAATTATACCGCCACATAGTCTATGGTAGATATCCGTTTTTCAACATCAATGGCCTCATGTGATATGTTAACTAAGCGAACGCCGAAGAAACATCTTTCCAAGTGCAGCGATATTCCGAAATACTTGGCAACTGGGTACTTGAGTTGAATATGTGTACTGAGCGACTCATTATTAACTGCATGTGAATACTGGACATCAAAAGCACTCTGAAACTACACATATCAGCAATTCGAAATTCATAGGTCATAAAAAACTACATTCTTCCAATTTTACCTTGAACGTCTTGAATACTTCGTTCATGTTGCAGTAGGGTGAGCACAAATTTTTGAAGCGAAGCTTAGTTCCTTTATGATCAACTGTGAAATTTGTGTATAAGAAGTCAACGAGCCTTTCTGCTTCGTCTAGGTGTGGTTTACGATGCATTGATCCCTGGTCCCTTGCCAGTAACAATACTATGGTCATCATCGGATCGCCTAAAAAAATGCATCGAACTATCGAAAAAATTGAATGCGTTCGAAAGGATTTAAAAAGAAGTAAGTCGAAATTCACTAGTAGAGTTCCAAAATTCTCGCATAACATCCGTTTCGTAGCGAGATGGGGCGTTGACAGGAGTGTACCCATCTCTTATGCGATCACGAAGATTCATCCAGTACATTCCGCCGGAATTCATGCAAATTAATGCCTTGAAAAAACATTTGGTTTCAGTTCGCTGAAGAGGCGAGAATATTTAATGTAATTATGAATAATCTAATCGAGCTGAATTGTAGATTTTTGACGATACACATACATATGTATATATATACTCATACATATATATATATATACATATATAAGAAAGTCGAGATTTTTCAAGAAAGTAGGGAAGAACAAGGGGTTTCAAGGTTTACAAAGAATAAATGACGCTTTCCAGTGTGATTAAAGGTCAGTGGTGAGAATATTTTTGATTAAGCAGGCTGTTTTCGAAATAAGCTTACCCCGACCAGAAGGTAAGCATACGGATACGTAGCAACACTCTTGCCGAGCAAGTAGAACAGCCCATGAAGGCTGAAATTTCTTGAGAATCTCGGTAGTTTGCGATGAGATTGGTTTTCTGAAACTCGTGTAAGCATGTTGCGGACGCATAGATGGTAAGGAATTGAGCTTCTTCTGTTTCTTAGTTTGTGGTCCTCAAGTTCTGGGCAGCACTTCCTCTGTTATTTTAGGTCAATGAATCAGGTATGTGCGTTCATTAGGTGTGTAGTACTTATGCAGTAACAACATGCCGATTCTATATTGATTCCTCTGTGAAAATTGTCTTTCTTCCCAATGTTGAGAATTGTCGACGGTCTGTGCACCAGCATTCTGAAGAGGCACATGTTACGCCTCCAACCACAGGAAACCACTTTTACCAAACTCACACTGTCTGTCCGTATCTCATCTTCTGGCAAGTCGTTCAGGGGTTTTCTTCCTTTGTTGTCACATTGCATGGCGCATTTGAGGCAAATGAGAAAAAAATAATGTCCCTGCAATAGCAGGATTTTTTTATTTTGACCATTACGAGCATGGTATTCCATTTCCTGATGAAACCACCATTTTGGAAAGCTCTGGCAGTTTTCAATAAAAGCAGCTTTGTAAACATCAATGATAGAAACGGAATTATGCTAAGGAAAAGATGGCAGGAGTTTAAGGAGTTATAGTGAGCCACATCACATTCCTACCAGCCCATAGCGCAGCGTAAAATACTCGGTGCGGTAGAGAGAGAGAGAGAGAGAGAGAGAGAGAGAGAGAGAGAGAGAGAGAGAGAGTGTGTGTGTGTGTGTGTGTGTGTGTGTGTGTGAACAGCAGCTATTGTAGTGAGCAAATGCTGCAGGGATCACGAGAATCTTATCCAAGCTTCGCAACTCAACAGCTCTAACACAACTCGCTTGCTGTTTTATGTTTTCACATTTTAATTTGGAATTGTAGTACAATGAAATTCCTCACCGGTTGCATATACAAGAACAATATGAATTGCGGAGTTAATAGAATAAAGCTAAACGACATAGCGCAAACATTTTGGTTTGATGACCTTTCAATAGTATGTCTAACAACAAAAGGCAAAATAGTTTGCAAAGTTTGAGGATTTGAGGCACTTTTAAACGTTGGAAAGCTGATGCAAAACACCCGCAATCATACGTGGTTTACACGTAATGCTATTCACATTCCTCCACGTAAATGTTTTCTATTGCTCCGACTTCGACGAGACAAATACATCGCCACTGTTCAATACTTACAAGGAAGGGAAATATAAACTGAATAGGAAACCACTAGAATCCACTGATCCTGCCCAGCAAAACGGATCTTTCGTATTTTGGAACCATAATATTCTGACTTTAGAAAGCCCAGAAATCACTTTTCGTCCTTTTTTTCCAAGGGTCTATTTCGAACACCAAAGGAAGTGAACAGGAAGGATTCCGTCTATAATTAAAAGCTGATGCATAGTCGTAAAGTGCGACTATGTCTCTTGAGTTGAGTATTTTAAAACGAAAGTTTCTCCCAAGTTTTTCGTAAATTTAACTCTAAAAATTCCACAGTCGAAATAAAGAATTGGGTGAAAAAATTTACGCTTTTGCAACAATAGATTAAAACTTGTTCTAAGAATGTTCCAAGCTCCCAGGATCGACTTTCTCTTAACCTCGGCATTGGAATATGAATGTGTCGTTTTCTTGTTCAGCAATCGCGAGGTTTTTAAACAGCATACATTTACTTCCATAGAAAAACACAATACAATACAACACTAGCTGACGTTTCGGCAGTATCGCCTTCTTCAGAGCCGCTTTTTCATGACTTCCAATGAGGAAGTTTAGAACAGCTGATTATAGTCGCATGTGGTTGACGACTCATGTTCCATGTTCCAAGCCACCGCGAGATTTAGACGGTTCAGATGAAAACAACGTCATTCAAAAATGAACTAGAATCTTCGTGCGACACTGCGACTTATTAAGCTTAAACAGCAATGGGTTACGAAGTGGTTGAATTGAAAACGACAAAAATGTTCATAGAACGGAATTTTTCCGCCAAAAATGCTCACTTGGTATAACTTCGCGAAGGATTAGACGTGCTTGAGGGAGAAAATGGGTTAGATTATCCTAGATTCCTAATCAGGTGGATTTTTAATTAGTAATAAGACATACCATCTCCACTCTTTCGAAGAAAGACAAAGCCTAAGTGAATCTTAGCAATGAAATTGATTTTGTACGAAATACGTTGAACCAGATGATTGCTAAAATCGTTCTGCCTATGTTCAACATTTCGCATTAGACGTGGGAAATGTTTTGAAGAGTTAAAGACTACTTATTACAGACATGGAAAAAGTAAATACATTAAAAAAGTAATCTGGGACAGAACTGGGGAACCGAAGTGTTATCGAGTGTTCGAAGTGAATCCATTGAAGACAGGGACACGAAGTTAATTACTAAAGGCTTTAACAAGCACTGAATTAGGGTCTTGAAAAGCTTGATTTAGATTCCAGTCTAAGAACGTTGCAGCCTTTGTAACAGAATCGTGAGCTACTACAAAACGCAAAGAGGAAGAGCGTAATGCAAAGGTAAATACGTGTACAAACAGAGACTAAGATCAGTCGAAACTAGGAAAGCAAACTGTTTCGACTATTATGAAAAGACTTCCAAAGAAGGTTTATCGAAAAGAAGTGCATTCGAAGTGTGGTGATTATGACCCAGGGAAGTACTGTGGCGATCCATTCAGCAATACTAGCGAAGCACAATGCCTCAAATTGTGCACTCCTCGACAGTGGACATAATCATTACGAGACTTCATCGCTTACTGGGAAATGGACGAGGCATGAAAGCCGGCCATTAAAAAATCGACGAACGAGGCATTAATGGAAATAAAGAAAACGAATTCAAGAACGAAACACAGATAATAGTTAAGGCGCACCTTAAAACAATAAGCGGAATGACCCTGAAATTTGATAAGTTGAAAAACTTCTCGTTCAGTGCCTAATCAACCAAAGAGACTGGTCTGAAAACTCTCCCCACATGCCTCATTGCGACAAAAAATTCTCCTAACGAACTATTCAAAAGAAATATGTTAATGTGAAATGTCAAACGTATTGTTGAAAAAGGCGTGGCACGACTAGCGACATCGATTTGTGGAAGCAAATCTTATGACAAACTTCAACACGACTTTGTTAGGGGAATTTTATTCCCAGACGACACAGAAGAAAACCTTGTTCATACGGAACCATATCTGACTAAGCAGCGATTCTTAATAGCGGAGAAACAGGAGTAAGAAATTTCTATTTACTCATCTAGTGAATTTTCATTTTAATTGCCGTTAATGCTTTGTATGTTCATGCACCCTGCGCCGAATAAATTAGCGTAAGTGACAATAGTTCGTTTTTCTAGGTTGCTAAAGTCAATGATTCTCCTCGTGGTCAGTAATATGTAAGGGTGTGAGAGAGAGAACTCACCGGAGCAGAAGCACAGCGGCAAATTGATTTCCCCACCCACGACACGCTCGCTCCTCACTGGCAGAGCACAGACTTTGCCACATCCAGCTGACGTCCAGTGTGCAAATCCAGGATCCAGTACGTTAAGTGAGCAGAAACTTTAATACACATTGTATATTATTGTACCTCATCGTTAGCTAATGCAGTTTTTTCCGCTTACATTAATCTTCCTTGACGAAAAAAATATCGCCACTAGTGCTGCGAAAGTATGAGGTGAATAGAAAAGAGGACAAGTGACAAATTTCGTCATTGGTATTATGGAATGAAGTGCAAGCATTCGTTCACCAAAAAATTCTTATTTGAAGAAGAACTTTTAAAAAGGAGGATTGTTGTCCACTACTGCTATTCAACCTGATATCGTTTGGTAAATAGTGGGCAATTTTGCAACCAATAAAGACTGATTGCAGCTCCTGCTGTATATTAATCTGCCTCCCCCAGATTAAGGGTTAAATAGTTTTGGAAAAATTAAACACATGTGAATGAGCAAGTCATTGGAAAACTTCATGTCGACGAAGAACCGCAGGTGCACATAATCTGATTTATGAACCAAATAACCATAAAATTTCCCACTGCTTCCTTAAAACTCCACGTGATGAGAGGAAAAGGACAAATGTAATTAAAGTAACAAGAACATCGATTAGCCTTTTGTGGAATAGGTAACCACCGACTGGTTTAGCTACCAAAACTGTGTCCTTGTGAGTTTCTTTATCCACGTCACAAAAAATACTGGAATGAAATGCATAGTTGGAGAGCCGTTTGTTGATGTTCTCTATATGCAATTGCCCTATCGATTTTCCTGTGAGCATTTCATTCGGAAGAGAAAGTACTTTTAGCAGGTTTATTCCCTGTTTGCAGTTCCTCGTTCCGATCATAATAATCTACTGATTATGGAATACCAGTGGAGCCGAGAAAAGAGGAAACGAAAGTGTCAACGTCATTGTGCACAGCAGGGAATAGGTCTCCAATGCAATAATACCTCTCTTCTTCACAAGCACAGTTAATTTTTGTATGCTCAGTGTTGCAAACACACGACTTTATTTCCTCAGGTCTAATTTAAAGCCAAGAGACGGGTAGTGAACTGACAGTGATGCCGTTCATCATGAGAACAGTACTGTTCCGACCCCACACCAGGCTCACCAAATCTCGTATTCCCCGCAGTCGGAAAAGTAGTACCAGACTAGCCCGGAACCCGCCCACTCCCTACAGTTCACGTGTGAACGCCCCATCACGGCTGTCCCAGGACCTATGGACTCTATCATAATCCAACGACATTCATAGCCAAAATGCACGCATTCAAGCAGCAGACGAAGCCGCAAGCAAAAAATCCGAAGACCTTAGGTGGAGGCGAGGAAATGGATCGAATACAAGAAGTGCTGCGATCCACACAGTAGATGTGAAGACGGATGTTGTAAAACAATAAAATAATAAATTTGCAAGGCCAGGCAATAGATGCAGTGCTATAATGGACAGCTTCGATTAACAAAAAGAAACACAATGTGAATTTAAAGTGCGGAAGCATTGTCATGACAAAACACTAGTTAGGATGACGTGCTCCAGAGGTTCAATACACTAACGAATAGGTGTATTGAAATTAAACACGCCTTCTCAGCGGTTTATTTT